GTTGTGGTTTGGGAGGCCGAAAAAAAGTGAGTCGCACCTTCGCCTCCAAAGTAGACATGCTTTTACCAGACCTGACAGAAGGTATAGAGGCCTCCAGGATGCAGGGATTTCAGAAGAGCTGCCCCATCTTCACGACTTTTTCCTTTGTGATTTCTACAAAGGTGGCAATATGTTTGGAGTGATGCTTGATAGAAGGCTTGGTCTTGCGATGCTTTCGATGGCCTTTGGCATGATGTTTCGCATGACGTTTCTGATTGATTCACCATGAACTGGTGAATTTGTTCGCTACATCAGTTGACATCATGAGTTGGGTACCGTTTGACTACGTTGTTCTACTACGGATAATCGCCTTCATCAGTGATTCTGGTTTCGACGCTTTTACCCTGGAAAAGCTCCGTTGGACCGGGGCCGTACCCGAATCCGGGGTCCGGACCCGGTTTCACGCTCCGCGACCGGTGGACGGTGGACGATGGGCTTTTCGGTGCGTTCGGTACGTTGGGTGCGTTTGGGTCGGGCGCGGACTGAGCTCAGTTCGTGGCAGACAAGGAGTCAGACTGTCAGACTGATCCTCACAAGGTTCGAACTTGAGACCTGAGAAAAGCAAGTTGTACTTTCACAGTTAAAATGATGCACCACTTTTTGCAGTTTGTGGACTCTCAGATATGGTCAACCAACCCTTAGCTATGTGACATGGATGTAGCTGCAAGACTTTGGCAGCTTTTGAAGAAAGTCGCACGCCCCAGATTCGCAATCGATTTAGAAGTTCGTGGTGCTGGCCATTATGGTTTGTCATCAAACTTGTGTTTGGGGTGGTTTACTCACGCAAAGCTGGTGTAGGCGGCTTTGACTGAGCTACTCCATCACAGTGCCAAAAAACATCAAACATCATCAAACTGTCATAGCCATCCTGGAGTAGATAGAACACGGGGAACTCCAAAAACATCCTTAAAAACATGAGGGTCTATCCACTCCAGGATGAGGAGCCCAGTTTCACCCCCCAAAATTGTGAGGGGCCCAGGGGTTGAAAAAGCGGATCGATCGCCCAGGGGTTTCAAGTGGATTCTCGTCAGGATTTTGAGTCAGAAAATGACCAAAGATTTGGTCCTCATTGCCCAAGACCTGGACGTCGAGAAGCATCAGGACCGGTTCGGGCCTTCCACGCTGCGAACCGGGTTTCCGGAGAACGACCTGGTGCGCCATTTGGTCGAGACCAACGGAGAACGGCCTTCCAGCGTGCCCATTCCGGCGGTGGTTCTGGGGGCCTCTGAACTGGGGAAGATCTCATGAGGACACAGCACCTCAGGCGCCATGTTTTCCAGTGAGATACATGATCCAGTGGTCGAGACACACGGTTTGATGATCTCTCGATGTGTTTTCCCGCCCCGAAACGCGGTCATGGTGAATCTATATGTGACCTATCTTGCCAATGGCAACACCACATGTGTTGATGGAAGTGCGATGGTTGCCTCCCTTGACGTCCACCGCTCCCCATCCTCCCACAACATGCGAAGAAAACCAGTGGTGCCGGTGGTGCAGGAAGACTTGCGGAAGGACGTGGCGCACTTTTCACGGAATTTGGAGGATTTGACTCATGGGAACAACGGCCGCGGCGTGCTCCCAGCTCCGGATGGCACGGTACAGGTGGACCTACAGAAGGTGAAGGATGTGTGGGCAGTCTCTTGGTCTCGATGGCACCAAAAACGACTTGACCCGTCCGAACCAAGCGGATGGCGGAACTGGTGAGATATATCTGTTCAACGAAAGAACGAGAGACCACAGAAACCAACAAATACCCAGATCGACACATGGGACAGCCATGGACAGCCTACTCATTGACCCCCAAACCCACCCTTATAACTGCAATTGGCAGTCCTATGGCAGTCCATATGGAGCGTCTGGGATAGAATGGTACCATATATCTTTACTTTGTTCTCATTGGGCTCCGGTCTCTGTGGATGGTTGTGTTCCAACCGTAAGGCCTAGACAGTCTAGGCCGTCAGACGGCCTAGACAGTCAGGAGCTACCACAAAAACTTGCAGACACTCATGGATTTTGCATGGATTTTGCTGGCAGACCTGCTGCTGATGTGACATGGAACGACTCCCTCTCTTCAGCGTCAAGTGGACGGCGCTGGCGAACGAAGCATCCCCGTTCTCGGCCTTCTCATCACAGATGACCTGGAGTTCGACCTGGGTCAGACCGTCAGATGGATATGTTTAGCATGTCAGATCCCCAACCCTAGGGCTCCAGTCGTACCTCAGGTTCGGTATGCCTGGACGTACCTCCATGGCACCCACCCCTGGCCCCTGTCCCACCTTCGAAACGAAGGTACGACTGGAGCCCGTTCGGATGCCCGTTCGGGCAAGTGAATCCACTCGGCTGGGCCAGGCCGGTGAGTCCACCTCGTTCAGTTCGGATCGAATGACCGGTCGGGAAACCGATGACCGGTGTGGCGACGTGGCAACACCGCACACATTGCCTTCCAAAAACCATGCCTTCTCCTAACCAACCATGTGAGACAGATCCCTGGTGTATACCTGGAGTCGAGTCGAGTCGACCCGGAACTCGTATCTCGGGTTCAAGGGGTACAGTCGTACAGTCAAGGGATTATCAAAAAAGTTAGTGTTTTCATGTTCCTTGGTGTTTTGGGATGTGAAGTGGTCTGGGTCTATTTGTGGATGCTGTGTTTGCTGGTTTGTTGGATATAGAAGATTGGGTTTCTTTGCTGGGCGAAGTGCAGATATCATGGTGCCAGTCATGGTGCCATTCAAAGGCTCAAACGTTTTGTTTCCATCAAGTGGCTTGCTTGATTTCTCTTGGCACCATGAAGCGTCCGGCCTGCCAACGACGACCAGCTGCCTCAAAGCGGCCGGCCACCAGGAGCCAATGGGAAGGGAGGGAAAGAGACATTGTGGAGAGAAAGATTCACGTTTGCAACGATTGCAATGCCGCTTTATGGTTCAGGAACATTCCTGTTTAAATCTGAGGCAAATGTGCCTGTAGACACAAAGGACAAAATACATGCCTGCAGAATGACTTTTTCCAGGCTTGTGTGCACTCCATAGTTTTTCATTCACAAATTTTACTCAGCATCCCTGGTCTTCTGTTTTTTCCTACTGTGTGCAATGCCGGCCCGCTCGAACTTGAACGACTTGCTTTTGCAGCAGTGCCTTTGTGGAAGACGTTCATGCTTCACCCAGTTTCAAGAGAGTGCTGAACATGTTCTGGCTGAGAGAGCCAGGTTTCATGAAATGAAAGAATCACTCAAGGATCCTTGGCTTCCTCTACAGCAAGCTATTGTTTGCTTCTGGCTCCTGTCTCATTATGTTGTGTAGCATCAGGTGTTCAACTTGCGAGCAACAAATAGTAATCACAGGAACCGGATGAGCGTTAAGGTTTGTACCATGTCCTCACTATATTCTTCAAATGTTCCTATCGAACACATCTGTTTCAGTTTTCTTGTTCTCAGAAGTTGGCCAACACAAGAAGTTGGAGCTTAGGAAAATGCTATCAGATCGTGGTACAACATTCCTGTACCAGAGTTTCCAGAGGGGCCTGATGTGGCAGCAAATCAGCTGCTCGTTGAAAGCGATGAGGAAACGATTCCTCAAGAGGGAGATGTGCTTTTTTCCACTGATGAATCTGGTGGAGATGCAGAAGAGCCCGAGGGTCACATGCTGTTGCAGTCTTCTGAGGATGATGCCGAGCAAGCTCAGCCTGCACCCAAGCGTAGGAGGTATACTGACAGGAAAGCATCATCAACTCTGCAGTTCCTTGGCCGATCGGTGTGCAGCAGGGCACATCAAAAGCTGTACGCCATTGGATCCGCAGCTTTGCAGAACCTCCGTCAGGGCCTGCCTGCTTACACAATGCATGATCAACGGCTGCCAGAACCAAAGCATGAGTTGTTGAAGGTCTCTTTGCGCAGAAAGTCTGACAATGCAAAGTGGCCGCATGTGCTCAAGTTCTTTTGGTTGCTTTACATCAGTGCAGCGGAGGTATTACCAACAAAATTGGTGATGCCCAATTCGTGGCACATGGAAGCTATGGCGAAAGATTCTGATTTCCAAGAACGATATTGTTCTGCTTTTTTGCAGAACCTGGAGCGGAATTTTCAGTTGAGCCATCCAGGTCAAATCGGCCCAGGTACGTTCGCAGGACCGAGGAGATATTTAGAACATTCCAAGCCGATTGATTTGTATATACAATACTCTGCATTTTCAGATGCTGATGGCCAAGAAGCAGCATCATTTGCAACGTTCATGAGAATATTCAACCAGATATTTTCCACACACCTGAAGTTTAGGGACAAAGCAGAGTTTGGGCAGTGTGAAGTGTGCTACCGCATGAAAACAAAACTCAGAAAAGCAAGCACCCGATCAGAAAAGGATCATTGGACGAAAGCCTACAGTTCCCATTTGTTGAGCCAATGGCGGGACCGCCAGTTTTACTGGCGGATGCGGGAGCTTAGCAGGCAATATTTTGCGCAGTTGCTTTTGACTGGAGCAACAAAAATGAAATCTCTGGAGCTGTCATCCAGCGTCTTGTGTGCCATTCAGGATGGCATGGACCAGTCGAAACTGCGTGTACCCAAGTGGGGATATGTGAGACTTCCAAAGACCCTGGAGGCACTCTATCGCCCAGCGCTTCATTTGAGCGCCAGCTGGTTCTACGGAGCACACTTAGCCCTGAGCATTACCGATGAGAATGTCAAGAAGAATTCAGAGAGCCAAATAGAGCAGCTTGCGAGATCTCTATCCAATTTGCTTGCTTCAACCTCCCAGCTGCCGCTATATTTTCACTGTCAGAGTGATAACTGCTTTCGCGAAGCGAAGAACCAGTTCGTGGCAGCGTTTATGTTGATGCTAGTGGCATGTAAAGTTTTTAGATCAACAAGCCAAGGATTTTTGCGTACTTCTCATTCCCATGAAGACGTGGACCAAATTTTTGGGCAGATTGCTCGAATTCTTCAAGGAAAGGCCATCGCCACAGCCAATGACATGGTGGACTTCTTGAACAAAGCCACGAAGAGAAGTGGTACTTCATGCAGCTCAGATTCTACATTGCGTGGATCAAGCTGCGAGGCCTACAAACTTGACGAGGTGACAAGCTGGAAGACCTTTGTTGCTCAAACCGGTGTTGTGCTCAAGGGAATGCGGCGAGTGCATTTTCTTCGTTATTGCCAAAGAAGGGACATGGGGTCTGACATTTTGGATAACGTGGCAGAAATAGAGGAACTTCGAGGTGTCCCGCCAGCAGATCGCAATGGAGAAGACATATTCTTAGTCACAAAACAGTGGCTAGCCGACACTGAAATTGCAAGAGTGATCTGCGTCATGTCCGCTTCAACAGCCCAACAAATTCGTGTTGGGTGCAGTAGTCCGGCTGGCTTGGCTGAGCGAAGGAGGATTTCTGATGGTGTGAGATCAAATATCAACAGATACGCCACTCGGAGTTTGAACAAGGGCACTCTGTCCAAGGACTCCGGACAGTACCTATTGAAGTGGGTCAACGGCACATTGCCGTGCTTTCCAAAGCCAGAGTCATACCCTATCCTGAGTTACAGGTACATTCGAGAACTGCAAGCAGAAGCCAGACATCCAGGCGCATGGATGACACCTGCCCGTCGCAGGAATTTTGATGTGACAATTGGTCCAGCAGATGGTAATTTGACGTCGGATTCTAATGAAGATGAGGTGGACTTGCCACTAGCCTTAAGGGACCTTTAGGCTTAGCCTACTGATTGCCACAAGGTTTGAGAAAAGATGCTACATGCATTTTCAGAGTGCTCGTCCGACAGATTCTCCAAAGCGTTGATGTGCACCACAGCTCAGAGGCTATTCACTGGTTCTGTCTCTGTCACTAGGGGAAGATGTTTCTCTAATTTTAAGAGGGGTTGCAAAAGACATTAGGACGCTGTGCGACTTTTAGGAAACATGCCAGTGTTTTGTCTTTCTATTCAAGTTGTTTTGTTTGCTCCACAGGAGTGCAGCTGCTGATGATGGCATCCCAAAGGTCGAGGATGGAGACATTTTCTTCAGTTCGGATGAGGAGCCCATTGCAGGCCTGCCAGTAGCTTCATGTATTTTCCTTCATGGTTTACACTAAGCTCAGTTGGGTCACAAGGATTGCCTTGCTGCCACATTTAAACCGAATTCTATTGTTGACCATAAATTCTCACGGATCACCACAAATACCAGCTCTATGTAGTTGTTTCTCCATGGCAAACACAGGTACAACTGGAGAATGTGGGGAAGAAGGAGAAGTACTTTTAGCTTCGGACGCCGAGGTTGAGGACTCATCAAGGGGTTCTAAGCTGCCTTCTTTGCCTTTCACATCGCCAAGCGTTTCTTGGTTAATTTTTTTTCTAACCTACAGCTTCTTCTGGAGCATGCGCATGTAAAGCTACTTCTCACTCACATGTACTGCTGTAGAGTTTTGAAGGCCACTTGAGCAGATGTATGTCTTCCGAGCATTTACCCTGTGTTGTGTCTGAGATTCGTGCTTTCATCTACAACTTCCTCAAGGAAGAACGCTTTGCAAATCTTCGGGGTCAGCTAGCTGCAACTTGTCGGGGCATTGACCGGCTGCGTATTGGTAGCATCTGTTCTGGGTGGGGTGTCTTGGAAATGGTCATGGAGACCTTCCGACCAGCTTGGAACCAAGAGTGCGTTCTAGAAGACAACTTGCTGCTAGAGGTGCGGTTTGTGATCCAAACACATGTCTGTGGACGACATAAAGCCTCAAAGAACCAAAACCAAACAATACGACACATACCAATTGTGAACGGTGTAGAAACAGCAAAAACTAGCAGCAACACTCAATGAACCATATTCTTGCTAGAACTCATACCTGCAGGTGGAGTTGAGCTTCGTTGTGGAGAAGGATCGGAGAAAGCAAGACTACCTGCGAAGTCGATTTCCACATGCTAAAGTGTTTTTCAACGACATGAATGACATGGGACATGCGAAGGCTTCCACTTTTGATGGTAGCTTCCACAAAGTGCCCAAGGTGAGATTTCTCGCAATGCAATGTGTGTGTGTGACATCTTTAAAAAAGATCGTCTTGCAAGATTTGGTCTTTGGGTGAACATGGTTGAATTGTGTGTTGCTCCCTTTTCCTAGATCTCGGCACTATGCTGATCCCTTGCAGGTGGACCTTCTTTGCAGCGGCTTTCCATGCGTTTCGGTGAGCCCATTGACTACAACACCGGGATCGGTGTTGGACAAATCATGTCAGTCTGGTGCGGGGTTTGATTCAGTCTTCAACTATGCAGCCAAGCACAAACCCTCCTTACTCTTACTTGAGAATGTCTCCAGCTTGTTCCACAAAAGAGCAGTGGAAGGGGGGGAGAAATCGGGGCAACTTTGATGTGCATAGTCATAGTCTTTTCTCTGTGTTCATGTTGTTTCAATCTGTTGGATGTTTCCCCTACCACGACATTGTGGGTTGACATGTTGAACTTAGGTATGAACATCTGAAGGAACGCTTGGATCGCCTTGGTTACATTGTGACTGCAAGCGAGTGTAACACTGCGGAGTTCGGGCTTCCCCAACAACGTGCTAGAGCATGGGTCCTCTGTGTTTTGAAGGATGAGTCACTGCCAAGTGTGTCTAGTGACATGTTGACTGACTTGGAGTTGTTCAAGTGTGAACGCTTGTCGCTTGAGAAGTGCATCTCGACTGTTGCAAAGCAGTCATCAGGAACTGAACAGAAACAGACTAGGGCTCATAGATCAACAGCGGTGCCCAAGTGGCACGATGCTTTCAAGGAGGAAAGCGAACGGATTGGCAAGGCCAGGAGGGTCTTGGGGATCTTTTATATATTACAGGGCGGTAGAAAATATGATTCTTTTCTCTCAGAGAGGTCTTAGTCTTAGGGATCTCTACTATGTATAGTATAATAATATTATATAATATATATAATATATACTGTAATATATATTTATATCTGGAAGCAGGATTTCGTATTCTAAGATCTTTTCAGTCAGTGTTCTTTGTTTTTCCCAATCTCCAAGAACAACCCAAACTCTGTTAACAACCCTTTGATCTCATTCTTGAGGCTTTGTGTTCGCTTTAATCTTGAACATCCTGCACTCCCCAACATACAATAAAACACACACACAAATACGGAAACAGCTGCAGGCAAAGGTGGATGCCAGGATTCGACAACTCCGACCAATGGCTCAAGGTTGCACTGAACGGGAGATTGCAATCTTGGCATGTGCTTGTGAAGAGATGATGGAGATGGGGGTGAACCCGGTGGAAGAACTCCTGGTGATTCAGGTCGTCCCTTAACTTCCTAGCTATTGTGGTTTCTATTAACACAGTGTTGAATCATATGCTCATCGGCTCTTGTTGTCTGGCAAAACGTTGCAAAACATGTCTTCAATAATATGTAGTACTTAGTACACTAATTGAAACACTGTACAATATCAACAGCCAAAGAAGCACAACACATGTACCTTTACCCTGTTTGTTTTGGGGCCTACTGAGGACCAGAACTTTGGGAGACAGAATTTTAGCAGGAAGAACATCAAGGGCTTGCCAACCACGACATGCTTGATTCCTGGTGGGAAATACATATGCACTGGGCCGGCTAATTTCCGACAACTCACCGACCAGGAGCAATGGGGGAACCCCTTGGTTTGTTGCTTTGTGTTGTGATTTTTCGGACAGGGTAGTTGTGGTACATTCCATCAGCCTTTGGGCTTTGTCTTTTTTCTTTCCCTCATGCATCTTCCAGGAGAGAGCCAAGCTACAAGGAGTGGGAAGTGATGATTGGGAGCGCTACAAAATGAGTGAGGTTCCATCGAATTTAATGCGGAGCTTTGTTGGCAATGCGTAGGAAACTTAGCAGCGTAAGGGCATGTTAAACAGTGATGCTCTTAAACAGCTAGAGCATGAGGACAAGCAACAATTATTGTTGATTCCTTTTGGACTGGAGTCAGGACGATGAGAAAACCGTTAAAGAAAGTATAGCTTTTGTTGGCCTCCCCACCTCCCAGGTTTTCGGTGCCAGTCCACTTCGCTGCTCTAGTGACTTTGCTAGCGCACTGGCGCCCACCGTGTCCCTGGCAGATGCGTTGAAGGTCTCACATACATTCATAATGGAAAATTTGGCATTGCATTTTGCAAGTGATTGCACGGAGAAACAACATCTCCAGGCCTCCAGGAAATAATGATGGAAGAATTCCGGGAATTTAGTTGGTTTGTTGTCATTGCCTTGAGTGTTTTGCCATACAGCCAGGAGGATCCAAATTTGCTTAGTTGGATTTCGCATTCCCAGCCTGTGCCAATAGCAGGCGGTGTCCAGGGTTTTGGATTGCCACCCGTTGGACTGGGAAAAAAGAAAACAACCTGGTGTTTGCAAAGTGATCTCAAAAGACTTGAGTCAAGAGATTCGAAGGCAAACCACTTGGATTTCATTCAGTGTCCTTCCCGGATTTCGTTTGTTTTGCTGTCTTGCAACCTTTTGCTTCGCAGCGGAGCAAACCTTTGCCGTGTGACTTAGACTCGTTTGTGCCAGTCATGGTTGCCAAACGCAGACGCATCACTTCAAACAACAAAGAGGTCGTCATGGCTCCTACTACCATGACGGATGTGTCACCTGTTCGAGTGGCGCTGCGGGATTGGATCAATGACTTGCACTCCATGCGCCATTGTCTCCCTGAAGATCAGAAACGGGCCTGGCCTGTCGAATGTGGAGGGTCTTTCCTGGAGGTAGTTCAGCGCTGCTTCAGGCGACCTGACAGGCTCCTAGCAGATAGCTTGGCTTTTTGCAAGGCTTTGGGAATCATTGCCAGAGATGCGACCACGGAGGACTTTCAGAAGAAGTTTCTTGCGATGAAGGCCGGGCTTTGTTTTCCAGTGCCCCCAACACCTAATGTTTCCAAAAAGCTGTTGGAACTTGCCATGCATTTTTTGGATTGAGGTCTTATCCCCCGGCACCTGCCAGGACTACCCGCCTCAACCTGGAACCTTCACTACCACGGCCATTTTGAACTGGAGCTTTGAAGATACTTCTTTCTGGCGCCCTCCAGACCTTCCAACTGTCATGGACATCTCAAAGTCCATTGCACTGGTGGGGTGGAGAGAGGCCAGCCATCATGGGGAAGGGTTTTAAGTTTACAAGACATCGTGAGGGGAATGTCTCGCCGCTTTGTGGGTCTGTCTCAGGAAGGACAAGTGGAGAGCTGTTCTAGGAATAGCTCTCCGCCCCATTGATGTGGCTACTACTAAGAGGAGAGCTCAGTGGTACTGCCTGTCACAGACTGGGGTATGTCCTGGATAGCTGGTAAAGGAAAGTAAACTAAGGGGCGGAGAGCTATTCTAGGAACAGCTCGCCGCTCTCAGAGATCCAGTGAGGAATCAAAAGCGGAGAGGTATTTGCCAAACAGGCAAGTGAAAGGGAAATCTTGGCTTGGGAACAAGAGTAAACAAGATGTGGGTGGAGATCCTGGGAGTTCTAAAAGTAAAGGAAACAAGATGTGGGTGGAGAGCTCTTCTAGGAATACCTCGCCGGCCTGGGAATCCGGAATACCTCACCGACTCTAAAACAAGACATGGGTGGAGAGCTCTTCTAGGAATGCCTCGCCGCCCCTTGAACGGGAATACCTCGCCGCCCTTAGAATGACCGGAATACCTCGCCGCCCCTTGAACGGGAATACCTCGCCACCCTTAGAATGACCGGAATACCTCGCCGCCCCTTGAACGGGAATACCTCGCCGCCCTCAGAATGACCGGAATACCTCGCCGCCCTGGCAATGACTGTAATACCTCGCTGCCATTGAATTTTATTGGCCTGGGATATTTCCACAAACAGTAAAAATATCTTAGAACTTATACAATACAATTGTTTGCTTTTTTGCTGTGTGGAATTGATTGAGGTGTGTTTGACTATAGGACATGACAAGAGTTTCCAGTTGGATGTCTAGGCAATGACAATGAGCACATGTGTTAAACAAATTTCAGTTTCTGCTTCCACAATGAGCTTCATTCTAATTTAATATATGTCTTTTTGTCAGCAGGATATCTTAGTGGTGTGTTTCACCCGCAGGGCGAGATCCTGGGACTTCGGATGGCAATGGATGAAGATACTCAAATGGAAGATGAAGCGGGTTTGAATCCAGGCCTTGGGGAGCTCACCTTTGACGATGGAGGTATGCGCGGGCTTGCTGCAGCACTGTGCTGGGTTGGGCTGGTTTACAGATGCTCCAATGAGAGCAAGGAGGCATTGTGCCATCCCAGTGTGATTGCCCTGGCTCGCTCATTGCTGCAACTGCCTACCATGCGTAAGAGCCAAAGCTCAGACATGATGTCTGAACAAATCCGCCGCATCATTCGCCAGAATGTCGAGTCCAAGAAAATGGCAATCACCAGCTTTGAGTGGGCGGAAATCCTACGCAACATGAACAAGCAGGGGCAACCAACTTCAGTGCAAGATGCCATCGACTGCTACAACAAGAGTCCAGAAGTCGCCGCTCATGGTGGATCTGGTTCCAAGGAAGGTTGTCAACAATTTGTTCACACTAGTCAAAAAATACTGAGTTTCAAGATGGTGCAACTGTTGTAGTTTGTTTGATGTCCCTGTAGGACCGGATTGGTGCGGGCTCTTTGGTGATTGACAGCAAGAAGCTGTGGGCAATAAAGCATTGGATGGAACAGACCTGTGACGCAGCACGTGAAGAGGTCATGATCTCATTGAAAGACAATGCCTTTGCCTTTGGACCTTGGGGGGAGAGTTTGTCTATCATGAAGCACCTGTTCATGAAGTCCACCATTTCCAATCTTCAGTGCTCCACTTCGTCATTGTCGCCTTTGGAGGGTGAGAGCACCATTCCTTTAGACTGGACTTTGCCCATGTGGTCTCATGCACAGACAATGCTCTTCCGCAGGATTCGGTTGCACTTCGAGAAAGCGACAGCCATTGTGGAAGATGCCCAAGACCGTCGCAAATACAGAATGTCTGAATCGGATCTGTTGAGCCTCAGAAATGTTCTGTGCCTTTGGGCACAGGTGAGGGATTTCCTCTCTACCCGCCTTCCCAACTTCACGAGCCTGGAGGAAGCACTCATGAAGGGCAATGGAGCTGATCATGAGCTAGAACAGATCCTTCAGCAGCGGCCAGCCGTGTTTGCAGTTTCCTTCTTGCCGTGTGCGCAACAGTCAGCTCTGGAAGATGTCAAGAAGCACGAAGAAGTTGTGACATTAGAAGCTCAGAAGCAGAGATTGGAACTGAGGGATGCAAAGTGGAAGTACTTTGCTGCTGCGCTTAACCGTGATCAGCAGGTTTTGCGCATGATTCTTTCTGCTCCAGCAAAGCTTGAAGCTTTGAAGCACAGGAAGCAAATGGCATGGAGGATTGAGCAAGCCCAGGTCGGAGAACGGGTGGTGAAGAGCTACCTTGAGAAGTTCCTTCGGTGTGATGTTGTTGAGAAGATGGAGCATGGGCAGCTGAAGGTCAACGAGTACAGGAGTTTTGTGGCTGCTTGCTTCCAATTCAATTGTTTTGTTTCATTCTGGATACTGATGACTTTTTACATTAAGGTGCGACAAGCGTTCAACCCTTCTTATAAAACCTCGTTTTATTGTGAACCTTACAATCATTGTCCAATTATGTTTGTGTGATGTGGTGTTGAAATTTCCACCAAGCCCAAAGCATCATCCTTTCTCATGTAAACCTTTTTGTGTCTGACATGTGAGGCAGCTACTTGCAATTGCAAAGAATCTGATGTCCACATCTTGACCTTCGTGGATTTGAATGTTCCTTTGGCCAAATCCAAGGAACGCATGGAGGAATTATGCACCCTCGTGCAATTCGCGAATGACCTCCAACCTACGCGCAATGTCGGCGTCATTGAGGTGCCTGAAGCACCGAAGAAGACCTCAAAGCGTGGCCTTGCGGATGAGGAGTCTGATCTGCAACAGACTCTGTGGGGGTTGCGGCAAGCATGTGACAACAGATGGTTTGTTCCTTTTGAGATCCAAGCCTCGGCAGATGCCCAGACTGCCAGGAGGCGGAACCTGTGTGAAATGATTACACAACACAATATAGCACTTAGAAATATCATAAACTCTATTCTGTGAGAACTTTTGGATGGTTTACTCTGGGATGATTTATATTATATACAGTTCTCATGATTTTAATTCAGCAAGCATTTGCTGACAGAAGCAGGACGATATTTCGACAATGTTTTGGTGTTTTGTTCTCGGAATCATGCTGTAGGCGGTTCTCCTTTGGACGCTTGGTGGTCAACAAGGAGGCTGAAAGCGATAACCCGTGGATCAACAACAGTGAGTTTGGTAGTGCAGGCAGACCTTTGGGCACTGACCCAATTATCCTACCATTGAGCAAAGACCTGATCCTGCCAGAAGCATTAGATCCAGACAGCGACCTGCGCTTTGCAGAAAGACTTCGACCAAGTTCGGAAGCGACATCCGCTCAAAAAGGGTGTCAGCGTTGGGAGGCAATTCTCAAGTCCATGCTCACCATGACCGGCTACAGCTTGAAGAAGTCACCAGTCATTGTACTCAACCTCACGTCCTATGTGGAGGATCTTGGAGTTTCAGTTCCTTGTCTGGATAGGAGGGCTGGCATGAGGAAAACCCCTCCCCATCAAATGTTTGAACGAAACCGCATGTTGTTTGGCAGTCAGTTGATCAGGCCATAGCGCAGCCCGGTACACGTTCATTTAGATTGCCATGCTTTGCTCTGCTGATGTGTTTTGTTTATATAATGGTTCAGAGCCAGCCAAAGTCAGATCTCACCGTCATGATGACCCTGACAGCTCTGGAGAAGAGATGCTCAAATTGAAAAAACAAGAGCAAGCACGTGACATCTTCTCTGTCTTTTCCAGACCTGACTTACCCAAATGAGAAGAACCCTTATATATAATAATTAGACCCCTTTGCCTAAAAGATTCGGATGCATCACTATCGGCTACTACAGGCTTCTCAGTTTGCCACCCAATGACCACCCAAAGAACCCTCCTGCGTTCTTGTAGTAGTAGCTGCAAATTGCATCGCGCAACCAACCCATTAAACTAGAGCTCCGAGCTATGGTAATACGAAAGAAAGCACAATTCAGTGAGAAGAAAAAAATAGATTCAAATAGTGGAAAACATGGTTGGGTGAGAAACCAATGATTACCAAGAGTCAGAGCTTTCTTTGCGGTATGTGTCATTGGGTCCTTTTTGTCTCCAAAATTTGAATTTTATTTTGGATTGAATCAAATTCATTGGTTTTAATCCAAGGCTTTCCGTCTCAGGGAGTCCAAGCAAGAGCTCAAGGGAGGCTTTCACACGGACTTGCTCTTTTACCAAAGCGTTTGGTGGCTAAACAAGGACGGATTTGGAGCTGCACGATTGGCCAGAGAGGTGACCGATGCATGGATCGCAGGTAAGCTGGAGCACGCAGGGCAGAAAATCAATGTCGACATTCCAGCTTTGACGAATGATGAAATCTCATCAATCCCAGGCGCTGCCGCAAGCCTTTCTCGACTTGACACGGTGCAGTTCGAAGTCCTGGAAAGGATTGGCAGCAGCATGAACATCAAGAATGACGAACACCGCTTCTGGATGGCCCAGGGAGGGACCATCACAGATGAATATTGTGCCCTTCGTGAAGCTCATCTTGACCTCATAGGAAGGGAAAATGTGCTTCAAGCAGATGGTCCAAGTGAAGCATCACAGCAACTTGTAGAGGCACAACCCGAGAACACAGAGTCTGAAGCAGCTACCACAGCTACCACCATGGAATCCTTGGAAAAATTGGAAGCGTCGCATGGTGTTGAGCACAAGGTTGCCTCGGAGATCCCTCAGGTGGAGATTATTTTGGCAAAAGATGGGTCTTTGTGGCTGATGTCTTCTCAAGATCGGTCCATCCCAAAGCATTCACAACTCGGAGGCTTTGGGACAGGGCAGCATGTGCCAGCAGAAGGAGAGGAAGGCATCGACTTCCATCTCCCTGAAGGGGATCGCTCTCTGGTCCAACTCGACGAGGCATCTTTCAAAGCAGATGGGAGTGGTGTGTCAGTCATCACCTTCTTCAAAATGCTTGTCTTAGCGGAGCAGCAGAAGCATCTCACTCAACATCTGGTCTCCTACATGAATGTGACCAGGAAAGCGGACAGCAGCCTTGAGACCGGGATGGATGGTTTTGAGATCACCTACAAATCCAAGATGCGATTCAAGTGCTTGGTTCAGGAGAAGGTCACCTGCAAGAACATTTTTGCGAAGATGGTGGGCAAAATCAATGAGATGGGTCAACTGCAGTCGATTTTTAGGTTCCGATATGAAAGGATTGGAGCCTCTTTTAAAGTCCAGCGGCCATACGTAATTACAAAGGCCAGGATTAGCCTCAAGCGCGGACAGCCTCAACAAATCAAATAGGGGGTTGGCATGCTAGAAATGTCTGTTTACTAATTTTGTTTACCTGGTTGGGGATGATTAGAATCTTTTGGAACAGTTTTTGAACATAGACATAGAATGGTTTGTTTGATGAATCTCGGCACCTTGCCACACCTGTTTGTTTGAGGCGGGCTTCAGCATGTTTGCATAACAGTGCTTCAGGGCTTCAGGGTCGGTTGTTTGACAGGGCTAGGAATTGCTTATCACAGGTTTGTCATTTATCCAATTTCGGATTTTCTGTCTGAGCTGTATTCACCTGAGTGCACTGCGGCATATGCTGATTTGGCAATAGCATGGAGCTCATTGGGCGCTAGACTTCTCTGATAGGAAGCCACAGTCCTGAAAGAAATCCTAGTCATCCTAGTCGAAATACTAGTTGATCTATGATGATCATTCAATGAACGTATCCTTGTAGGTTTTATGGCTTTGCTTCAAGGGGAGTGAGAAGATGCTAGCATCATCCCAATGGTAGGTAGCTTTATACAACTTTGCCATTTTGATGAGGCAACACAGCGCAAGAAAACAACAGAAACGAGACACTCAATTCTTCTCAGCAAAGCTTTGGCAAGGAGGAGCATCTCTTCAACTACTCTATTGTATAATTTGTATAGTGAGAGTTGAGAGCAGTGTGTACCTGTTCTGTTTTGTGTGTCAAACCGGCTCAATTTGAGATTCCTTGTTTCAGTCAGTCGGAAACTACCTTGATTCTCAGAATGGCGCTGACTTACGAGGAGGTCTTGAAGGTGTGGCAAGGCCTGGAGATTATCCTGGGCATGTCTGTCTTGAATGAGAAGGGCGATTTTGGTCATGAATGCCTCAGAGAAACGCTGATCAGGCTTCAGTGTTTGCCCCTCTTCAATGAGACACCCGAGAACATGGATGTTCTGTTGAGCATGGTCCAGTTGCTCACAGTACTTCGGAACATGACTTTCTACGCTTCCATGAACGGAGGTTACGACGGCTCAGAGATCGCAACATGGATTCACCATGGTCGAGATGTTGTTGGACCTGCACAGCCTACTCGCGAACTCAAAGATGTGGTTGGAAACAGCCGAGAGCACATTGAAGACATTTTGGACAAGTCCATCCAAGAGGTGAAACACCTTCAAGTGACTTGTAGCTCTGACAGTTTTAATGTGCAGCAGTTGCTGTCTAAAGCCCTGAAGCTGCTGGAACAAGTAGCAGAAGAGCTCTCAGCAATTTGATAGGTGTGCCACTTTTGTCGCTCTTTTTGGGAAAAGAGTAGGTGCATTGTTGTGCAACTCTTTCATTTGGCAGTCGCTCGTGGCGCAAAGGTGTCATCAACTTTCATACACTTTTATGGCCTGATCTCCCCATTTGACTTTTAAGTTTCATTTTTTACACATGGCTCAAGCAAGTTGGTTAAGTCTGGACTCCGCCGCTGATGTCCTTTGACATTCAGAATCATATTTTGCGCAGCGCTGCTCTCCATGCCCAGGGAACACAAGCACCAGGGCCTTCACCACCAAGGGCTGTGGCAACCCATGAGAGTCAGGGTGGAGGTGGGGATGTTTTTGAGGCAACACCACAGCGAGGACAATCACAAGAAACTACCCCTCCAGGGAGAGGTCGTGGTCGTGGAAAAGGTCGGGAACGAGGGCGTGGCAGGGGGCGAGATAGTGGAAGACTTTTGTTTGCAGAGTGTGGGAATTGTTGTTTTGTCTAATGATATTCGATATTCATTAATCCTGTCCCTGAAAAAAAACAATCTCATTACAAGTTCATGGGATACACCCCAATACAGCCCACCCAAAAAAAAAGCATTAACATGATTAACCTTGCAAGCTCCATGCTCAGGAGCACCTGTGCTGAAGAGACCTGCTGCTAAAGTGAAGGAGGAGCCTGAACCAACACCCATTATGAAGAGGCCTTCGGTGTCCAAGTCTCCAGCTAGAAAAACGAGGAAGAGGGAGACTTCTGATGGAAATGATGGCGGAAACATTGCTGATGCTACTGCTACCGATGCCAATTTGGACCATGAAGAACCAGAGGAGGAGGAAAGGACCAGTGATCCAGAAGTGGCACAGGAGGAGGCGGAGGAGGAAAAGGACATCGAAGTCAAACGGAAACCAGCTTCAGCTCCTACAACACCAACACCTCGGAAAAAACCTTCAACGGCAACAGGACGTGGGAAACCGAGGAAACCTACACAGCGGGCAAGCTCTACTTTGGTTCTAGATACTGCCTTTGATGATGGATGGAAGCTTCAAAAGTTTGTCCGCAACCCAGGCACCAAAGGTGCAGGTGGAACCTATGCAAAATTCACCGCCCCTGATGGCACTACCTTGTGGTCCCTTGTGAAAGCCCGGGATGCCGGCTTTGTTCATGATTACAATGGACAGTGATTAGATTTAGCCATGATCGCTGGCTCAGAATGAGCGTTTTTGAGACTAGCAACATCCTGCGAAGTCAAAAATTGATAGCGGCTTCCATCACAGATTAACACACACAAGTTAACACCGAACCGAAAACACCACAAGTCTTGAAAACACTATCTTTTATGAGAACTCCTTAGTCGTACCTGTTATTTGTTTGGGGGGGGGAGGGGGTCACACGTCACGACGTCCCATTTTCGGTACTTGAAGCGCTTGAAGGAGGGTCCAGGTACCAGCAGTCACATGTCGTTGGGTGGTGTTTAGTCCCTAATTAGGATAAGTGAGTGGATGTGACGTTCAGGCACCCCAGCCACCTCCATGGATCGCACCCCTTACCTCCACGTGACTGCTGGTACACATATACATACCCTGACGATCCATGACCACACATAGGTCACAAATAGAAATGCAGGATATGCATACGTTTCTATTGATCTGCCGGAGATGCCCGGCTTCGTGGGACGGCCAATAGACGAGACTTCGTGGTCTCCGCCCGAGGACTTTCAGCTCTTGCTCTTGGACAACATGGACTCCATCCGGGACGCCAATGGTGCGGTGAACACCACAGTCATCGAGGACCAAGGGAGGTTTTCTAGAGATTTCAAGTGCAGAGAAACGGTCCTTTAGCATTTTTTTAAAACCTCTTATTAAGTAGTACGTGTTTTTGTATCACCAACTCCAGTAACATGAGGTGATTGACCTGTATACGGAGAGGTTAAAAGTGTGGAGAACAAGATGTTTCAAGCCCGTCCGGGATGAAGCGGGTTTCATTGCGGCATAGTCGGGCCACCGTTGGTTCCAAAGAAAAGCCAGCATCGCTTGATGTGTTTCTTCAAACCCTCCTCAGAGTTCAGCTGTGGTTTCTTGGCATATGAACACTTGTGGTACCAGGCTGGAAAATGATGAAGCATTGATGAGCCTGACCGCTACAGACGTTGGCGACCGCTTACAGACGTTAGCTACTGCTGATTCGACGATCGTTTTTTGCGCTTCATCGAGATCACTGCTTACTCCCCAGAAGATTAACATGGTACCTCAAAACCACTGGTTGGTAGAGGAAAGCATTCTAACCCTGGGGACCAGGGTTCGTTTTCAAGAGTAATCTGAATTGTTGAGGATAGACTGCACAGTACATCCTTACCTTACTGGGAGTGAGACTTGGAGATGAGGGTGAATAGGGCCTGCCCCAAAAAAACTGCTCAGAGGTGAGAGATGGTGAGGATGGTGAGGGGTCCAACCGGTGAAAGACGGACGTTGACTTGCTGTGAGGCACACAGCTTTCCATGCACTTTCAATGCAGTTTAAAAAAAGAAAGAGGGAGATTGGAATTCGTCTTCCTGGATGTCAGCGGTATCGGTTTCGCCATGTTTTCGGGGTCGGAAGCTTAGCAGAAATGGCAAGGATCGTTGTTCAGGGATCCCTTCCCAGACCATCCATGTGATTGGAACATTGACCTATAGACATTGACCCGGAAACATCTTCAAATCACCCCCAGCTGATTTGGCCCAAAAAAAACCATCTGTCCGGATTGTTCGGGGGTTCTCGGGTGGTGTTTTGGTTCCAACGATCCAACGAACGTCGTCGCAGTCCTCGTCGCTGTCTGCCGGTCACCGGTGGTGCAGCGGCCTCACACATCCAGACCACTGCGAGCTGCAGGAGGCATTGAAGTACAACAAGCCGATCATGTAGCTTGTCATAAAGCAAAACAAAAGCACGTTTTACATTGTTCCATTGTGAGTGAAGCAAAATGGCCATGACTCTGGCGGTTGGATTGTTGAGAAACCATCGTTTATTGAGTTGCATCTGTTAAGAGTAGTTTTGTATAAATCAGCACAAACAATGGCCTTTTGGGGGGAAACAAGTGCAGCACGGTGCCTGTTCCAAAAGAAGGGCAACTCTTGTGGTAGCGAGGTGAGACATCAAAATTGGAAACGGTGTTTTGAGGCGCGGCGTTCCTGTTCCGGCGTCCCAATCCCAGTCGGATTCGAGGCGTCCATGTGAGCCACAATGGAGAGCCCTGCACCACTTGTAGGACTCCATTGGATACCCCTTGGAAGCGCCAGGTACACGGTGTCTTTTTACTGAAACATGTTAGCAACAAAATTGCGTTGTTCGAAGACCCAGGCGGTGTACCTGGAGTCTCAGTTCGTACCTCGGAAAATGGGTACAAGTACTAGTACCTGTTTTTATGGGGTCATGTCCCATTTTCTAAGGTACTTTGGAGGGTCCAGGTGTGTATATAATGTATATATATATTTATTATATAACTATACTATATCTACCAGCACCACCCTTTGGGGGTTGTTAATAGATTGAAAATACATCTTCAGGGGGGTCTATAAACCACCCTTTGGGTGGTGTTGGTAATATATTAATATCAATATGTGTTCCTCCTCTGCCGTGTGGCGGACGATGTCACACCACTCTTTGCTTGCAGGGTTGATTCTGATTCTGAACAGCTTGGTAATTGCAACATCTCGCGATTCTTGTGAACACTCCAGAACCCTACACCTCCAAGTACCTCCTCAGAAGGTATTTGGACCCTCCAAACCCACCCCAAACCCCTTCGAAACGAAGGTATCAGAA